TCAGCAGCACCACATAATCGACAACAAGCTTGTTCACTTCCCTCGGTGACAGCTAAACTCTAAGCTGTTCCTGTTTCAGAGCTGAAGCACCACCATCATTATCCTCCTCAACTGGCCACCAGTGTTGGTGGAGATTGCAAATGTGCTGCTGATATAAAGCTATTGCACTGGGAACAAGTAACTGAGCCCATTTGAGAAGTTAAAATACACGTCTGACTTAAATGTCAATTTATTTCCCTGTGGTAACAGAGGCGGGGAGGTTTCCTTGGTTCCTTTATTTACTGCAGACATGACACGTACTTCCTGTTGTTACGATCTATGTCCATGAAAACAAACACACAGACTGCTTTTTAATGACTGTTTTTAATTGGAGTTTGATTTTGACCATACATAAATAAGAGCCAGGAAGTGGATGCACTGCACTGCTTAGAGTTTAGAGCCTGTTTAGAGCGCTCATCTGGAGTTGGCCTTGAAAACAATAATGCACAAATAAATGATGACCAGCACGTGACTGATTGCTTGTAATGTTTTCTGTGAGGTCGGGCTGGTTCCACATGCTCGTTGTTGTTTTTGTACCTCGCAGCCAGGTTAAATGTCACTCAACTCTGAAATGCAGTTGATCCTGTCAGAGAGGATTCGTTACAGCGTTTCCCCGCCGAACATCGTTTTGTTGATTTCCAGATTGGCTCATAGAGAGTCATTTTCGCTGGCTGCAGCTTCCAGTCTGATTCTAAAGAAGAGTGATTACAGCGTCGGTTCCCATCTCAAAGGAGGCTCCCTCTCCTGATCTCAGGAGATCTTTCGTAAAGCTCCATAATCTCAGCCCAATAAGCTCAACTGCTGGACTGATGGACTGATGGCAGAGAGCCACCGTAGATGTCACTGCAGCTTTGCTCTGTGCATAGATCCACTAATGCCCCCTTTTTGAAGGCCTGTGGGATCTTCCACGGGGACTTAGTGGACTGTGTACTGTACTGTTTGATGACTGTTCTGATGGAGACACACCTAATCCCTAACCCACACCTTAACCTCTTCCTGTCTAGGATGAGGCACACAGCAAAAGGTGCAACACGTCAGTGTTTCCCAGAAACTGCTCCCACACGGTTTTCCTGCCGGCACTCCTGCAGCCTGCACGGCGTTCCCTCCCCAGCGCTCGGTTAGAGAAAAACAATCGCCGGGTCAAATGAATACACAAGTTTAGAGATGTTTCATCTTCTTTGCGCCGCTAAAGGAGGCAGCCATTGTTGTCAGGGTAAAGACTAGTTGTGTTTGCGGTGTGTATTAACTGCCACCATATTTAGTCAAAGGAGAGGAATGTCATGGTTCGGGCTATCACTGGGACGCTGTTGAGCCCAGGGGGATTACAGTAATGGATTGAGGGCCTGTAGATAATACTTGTGTAAATACCGTGTGCCTCTTTCCTGAACCCTGTGCTCTTGGAGTGGGCTCTGTCTTTTTTGAGAGAGTTAAGCTTGATGGTTGCATCTCACATTGCGCCGGAGGAGGAGGAGGAATGCTCAAAGAGAAGAGTGTTCTAGCGAAAGGCGGCAAGACGCAACTTGCCCATGGAACATCTGCGGGCCCGTCCCACGCCTCACGAGATGGGGCTGAGACTTGTTTGTGTCAAGAAGCTTGTCACGACTCGCCCGTCGCAGAGAGACAAACCCTGAAAGCTACAGATGGGAAAAGGTGGAGGGGAAAATTTTTAAAAAGGCAGAGTTGAAAAGGTTTTTATGATATGGGCTATGGGATTTCTCCATAATCTTCTCGGAAAAGCCCTTTCTTTTACAGTTTAAGTTACAAGATTCCTTTTTTTTCCGCTTTCTGACAGAGTACCTGCAGCAGTGATTTACAGCAACAGAAAGCAGGCTCATGCTGTGGCGGTATAAATATAAAGGCAGATATTAGTCTGTCATCAGGGGAAAAGGAGGAATTTAAATCAGACCTCACCAAACTGAGTTTGTTGGAGTGCTCTCAACACAGAAATCATTGTTGTGTTATAATTGAAGGTTGGAACGACAAAAAAGTGCTGGCAGCTCAAACGCTTCCTTCAAGGATAAGCAGATCAAACAGTTTTTGAAAATAATTTTAAGCATGTTTAGCAAACTTTGGCTGCTCTCCATCTGAAAAGAAAAGGAGAAAATCCTCGATTGCTTTTTTTTCCCCTAAACCTCTTCCCACCTGCTGTGCTTTCAGTTTTAAAGTTGAAGTTACAGTTGTTCTGCTGAAGACATTTGATTGGCAAATCCCAAGAGGGACAGATACATGTTTGACTCTTTCAACACCGGCTACGTGATGCTGCTTGCCCGGGGCAGGTGTCATCCCTAAGATTGGGTGGTCGAGATTGGTGCTGATAGCTTCGGCCGAGCAGATTGTCCGCTAAAATGTTCAACTTTTCCCCCTGTTTTAGATTTAAGAAGCAGGTGCTTTGCTTCAGTTTCAGAGAAAAGTAGAGCGAGGGAGGAAAAGAACTCTTTGGATTATTGTTGAATTAAACAGGTTTGGGAGACGCTGTAGGCATGACATGACATGTCAGGTATGAAGAAGACAAGACCAGAGGCGCCAAACGTTGCTTGTTTAAGGCCTGATGTTTGTCAGGACTTGACTTCTGCATGCGCCCGCAGCGCCTGTCAGGTAGAAAGGAACGCTACAACTGTGGGCCTGCCCCAACCTGCGCGACACAGGAAGTGTGTGTCTCTGTGTTCCTGTGCTGTGTGTTTGTGTGCATTAGCTGCATGTGTGCAATTACTTTCTATGTCCGAGTATCAGGACAAATTGCATGTTGCGCGTAGTCAGATTATCCCAGAGACGCATTTTCGTTGTAGCTTGAAAGCTGCAGTGCTGTGTCCGCACGGTTTCCAGCCGAGCTTTCCAGATGTGCACGTAGAATTTAAAAGTCCAGCCACTTTAGGTCATTTATTACTTTTGCCCCGTGCCAGCTGAACAATGCATCACGTGTGTTTCCTGCAAACACTCGCAGAAGTTTTCTTTCAAATGATTGTGATTAAGCGGCTCTGCATTGTGCGCCTTGTGTTCCTCGGCCGTGTAATTCACATTGTGACCAATGAAAGGCTCATAATTACATGTTAACACCTGAGCGCCGCACCCTGTGTGAGCCACTGAATCCCATCAGTCAACTGGCTGTCCTCCACCCTGAACAGTGTTGGCTTTAACCGCATGCTGCTTTCAGCAATCAGCAGCTCCTGCTCTCACTGCTGAGCAAACACAGCAGCAGCACAGAGCTGTGCACTCAAAGTTTGTAGCTTCAGGGCTGGGGTGGGCCACTCGTGTGTGTGTGTGTGTGTGCATGTGTGTGTGTTTGAAACTGTAGGATATCATCTAAACAAACTTTGTGTTTCTGGCCTAACATTCGCGATTAGATCTTTAGGCTCAGATTTGTGCAGACCCTTTACACACCACCTCTCTCTTTCTCTTTTGCTCTTCTTCCACACCCTCGCCCCCCTTCCTCCATCTCTCTGCTTGGCTTCTCCACCTCATTTAGCTGACTGACAGAGGCGTACGGGGAGTATCAGGTTAGGAGCGAGGGGGCAACTACAGCCATTCATCTTGGAGGCTTTTTTTTTAAAGCTGCTAGAAAGCCGCTTTGATTTTAAGGAAGAGTCAGTTCAGTTGCCGTGTTGAGCTTAAACTGCCCTCATCAGTCAATCTATCGTGTCCTTGTGCACGAATCAAAACACAGTTTTATTGTTAAAATTTTCTGCTTTGCATTCGTATTTCCCAGCAGTGAGCATCAGCGCTGCAGCGTTGGCGTTGGGTCACTATAAGAGGGTCACTTGAGGAAAGCAGCACATGTGAAAAGTTGCGTTTAATAGCAGACTGCATCAGTGGGCGAAACGCAGGCATAAGGCAGAGACGGGGAGGTGCACTTTTAGGTTTGTCCTGATGAAAGGAGAGGTTGCGCCTGAGGAGAAGAGCAGAAAATGTCCGTGCCAAGCTTGTGTAATATTTAAAGTGAGCACAGACGGTTCCTGGGATGAGCTTCTTTTCATTGGAAGCAAACTTAATAGAGGTGCAATTTTATGTTGCATTGTTCCCGAACACAGCCCCGAGCAGTTTTCACAATGTTCACTTTTCATCACTCAGAAATGAAACTGACAGGAAAATTTCCCCTCCGCCCCTCCACCCTCAGCTCTTGCACATAGAGGATTTAAAGCTCTGCTTGCACAGCAGTGATTTGAATGGCTTGTGTACACAGTTGGGTTGTGCCTATTAGTAAGAACTCGGTCTTTCTGATGCCTTTACTGGTTATCGCTTCTAACAGTGCCAAGGATCAAGGTGCATCCATTATTCAAGACTCCTGGCTTGCACACTTGAGCCTGAGCCAGTTTGTGTGATCAACCATCACATTTTGGCTCGTCGCTGATGAATCTTTTGCGACTGCCGCGATTAGCCCTCCGCTCCTTCACTCGGAGTCGTTGTCATCCACCTGCACTCTAATGCAGCTCCAGCCTGCCAGGCGCTTCAGAAGCTGCTCTGTGTGATGAGTGGCCATCAGATGCTTTAACAGAGATGAAAGCCAAGCCCTGTTTAATTGCCCCTGGAGGGGTCCATTTTATGGTGTCCTCGGAAGTCCAGAGGCTGTCTGTGAGACATCTTTGAGGTTGGCCAATAGTCACTTGTAGGGCCGAGTGCTGTGTGTGTTTATTTAAGTGGGTCATAATCACAGTCTTCAGTTTAACCCTTTTTGCTTCAGGGGAGCCAGAAGTGCACAGCTGAGGCAGCAGGTGTTACCAAAGTCCTTCAAACACCGCTGTGCACTTATTTTTAAGCTAAATTAGTTTAATTAAATTTTACTGGTCACCAGGAATCTGAGAGTTTCCACCAAAATAAGGTTTCCAAAAGCCTTTCCCCCTGACTTTATCCATTTACTATCACGTCTCGGGTGTTTCTGTGATCAATCTGTGCTTTTAAAATTTAAGTCAATCCCCCATCAAAACTTTTCTGTAATCTTTTGTGTTTTCTCTCGTTTTGTTTTGCAGTATTCGACCGAACTGAAGAAGTTATACTGCCAGATCGCCAAGACATGTCCCATTCAGATCAAAGTCCTCACCACTCCTCCCCAGGGTGCCGTGATCAGAGCCATGCCTGTTTACAAAAAAGCTGAACACGTGACCGAGGTGGTGAAACGCTGCCCGAACCACGAGCTCAGCCGCGAATTCAACGACGGTCAGTCGAAATCCCACCGCCTCGTGTTTCACTTCGGCCGTCTTTGTTTGTTGTTGGCGTTTGACCATACGACTCGCGTTGCTTCCAGGTCAGATAGCGCCGCCGAGCCACCTGATCCGCGTGGAGGGAAACAGCCACGCCCAGTACGTGGAGGACACCATCACTGGGAGACAGAGCGTCCTGGTTCCTTATGAGCCTCCCCAGGTGAGCTGTCCATCAACCTACAGGGTATCCAAGCGACAAACGACTCGGATGGCGACAGACAGCGAGTTCGCTGTCATGTTCAGCTGCTCGACACTTCGCCAACCTCTCCGTCAAAGCTTTCAGTGCCGCCATGAAAGCTTCAAAGACGCACATTTTTCAAATACTGGTTAAACATTTGGATTCTGCATAATTAAACCAATTTAAATGACCCGAACCTGAAATATGTCCAAATACGACCTCTGTTTTTGCGCCTGCCGCCGTCACTCACCTGCAGTCTCATTCTCCTCCTCAGGTGGGGACCGAATTCACCACCATTCTGTACAATTTCATGTGCAACTCGAGCTGCGTGGGCGGAATGAACAGACGCCCGATTCTCATCATCGTCACCCTGGAAACCAGAGAGTAAGCCGTGCCGCCGCCACCTCCGTCGCCCCCCCCGTTGGCCGTGCTTTGTTTCTGACAGAGGATGTCTTTGTCTCCCAGCGGTCAGGTTTTAGGGCGCCGTTGCTTCGAAGCCAGGATCTGCGCCTGCCCGGGCCGCGACCGCAAGGCCGACGAGGACAGCATCCGGAAGCAGCACGTAACGGACGCCACAAAGAGCAGTGAGGGTACGAAACGCCGTAAGTAGGGCCGGGGCTGGTGACGGGCTGACGTGCTTTTGGTCTTCCTCGACATGCAGCTGGCGTCGAGGACTCTCACTAACCCGCCTTTTCCCTCGCTTCTTCCCCCTCCTGCTCTGTCTTAGGTCGACTTGTTCTCTTTAGCACGGCGGCCGCTGTATTCACGCTCTCCTCTTCTCTTTTTCAGCCTTCCGACAGGTTTCCCACGGCATACAGATGTCCGCCATCAAGAAGAGAAGATCCACAGATGAGGAAGTTTTTTGTTTGCCTGTAAGTGTGGCTCCGCTGTCTCACACGGCTTGGGGTGCGTCTGAGCTGCTCACTGACCTCTCGTCTTATCTGTTCCCCTCAGATTAAAGGACGCGAAATCTATGAGATTTTGGTAAAAATCAAAGAGTCGCTGGAACTCATGCAGTTCCTGCCGCAGCACACAATAGAGTCATACAGACAGCAGCAGCAGAACCTCCTGCAGAAACAGTGAGTACCAGAACAGATTCTTGGTGGAGTGAAACACAGATGTGCAGAACGGGCAAGCTTCACCGTTGAATTCAACTGTTTCTTTGCATGCAGCTGCACTCTCTGCCTCAGTAAACGTCTTCTTTGCTTGTGCGGAGGTTTGTTTGTCTTTCGAACGCAGGGCACTGATGACTAACTGACTGAACATGGCTCACTTGTTGCTTGAATTGTGGATTGCACTGATAAATGAGACTTCTTGATTGTATTTACTGCCGCCGCTGAAGCGTTGCAGCTAGAAGAGCTGATAATAAACGCTCTGGAGTAGGTGTTAGCCAGCGTTTCCCAGAATTTACTCCGAATCAGCTCAGCCTCGCGTCCAAGCAAAAGCTGTTTTTTGTTGGTTTTTTTTTGTCATTTTCTTTCCTCCTTCTTGCTCTCTCTCATGGGACACGAGCCAACACTGATGAATCGTGACAAATGTACCTGGCTGCGCTTTGTTAGGGAGACGCTTCCAGAAGGTTCCCGGTAACGCCTTTGGGTGCTTTGCCAAGTTTTTACACAACAGCAGCAAACAGAATCCGTGCCTCGGCCTCATCTATCGGCTTCGGCGTAATTAAAAGTGTCTCAAACGCACACGTCCTCGTCCCGCCTCCCTTCTTTCACTGTAAGCTATGGAAACGAGGAGATGGGAGTAAGTGATAGTTTGACAGCGCTGTGATGATAATTACTGCTTATGTTCTAGTTTCCCATTAAGAGAAGGCAGACAGCCTCGCAGTGACGTAGTGCTTGCACTCGCTGTTTTTCTTTGACTTTATTTCTGTTTTTGCTGCCCGTCCGCCCTTCAGTACTAACAAGAGCTTAAAAAGCAGACGTTTAATTTCAGACAGAGAGTGCAGAATTTTTGAAGAGTTTTTCAAATTCGACACTATCAGATTTTGATGCCAACCCCCAGAATCTTGGGATTTGGTGTTTATCCTTCTCCGTTTGTCCATTTTTGCATGCTTTTCCCAGTTTTCTTTGTAAAACCTTTGACCTGTTGGAGTTTATTACTGTATTCAGCATTGGAAATAAAAGGTTCTGTCAACAGCAGTGTTTCAGACCTTTCCTTCTTTCCCTTTAAATGTCAAATAACACCATTCTGTAAAAAGGCTGTGATCTGTGTGTGCATACTGCCATCTTCTGGACACACATGTTACTGCAGTACAGTAGGAGTTTCCTGAATCTCAAACTTGAACATTTGTAGAGTTTTCTGAACATCTGGACCTCTCTGGGGTCCCTCGCTCCTTCCTCCTCCTCCTCCTCCTCCTCTGTCAGTGAGCCCTTATTTCTGCTCTTCTCTCTCTCTTTCTCTTCTTTCTGGTTCCTTCCTGCAGCCTGATAAAAACCCGTCTCGGTAGCCAGCTCCTGGAACCTGCATTAGAGCAGAGACGGCGGTGCAGCTCCTCCTGAAATCCACATTCCTCCTCTTCTTCCTCCCCCTCGACTTAAACGGACCTCCTCTCCGCCTCCTTTTCATCAACTCTGATTTCTGTGACCTGCTTCCTCCTGTGCGTCCCGGGACTCTACACCGAGGATGTGAACTTTCTGTTTCTCTCTCTGCTGCTGCTGTAAATGCTGGATGATCACGTCTTGTTTTTATTCAGCCGCGACAGACGGTGTGAGGGTTTCGGTAGGCTGCGGGCCTGCGTGATCCCCCTCCTAATCTGAACTGAACTGTAAATGAACATGTGAATTGCATGCATTATTTTTATCCACAAAGACTGTACTTTGTGGACAGGAATCATTTTAGATTTCTTATTTCTTACTAAGTGTGTTGCGTCTTTGCATTGTTGCGAGAGCTGGACTCAAATCTCTAGATTTTAATTTTGAGTTGGTTTTTTTTTTGCTGATGCTGGTCATGTTTTCTAAAGTCACTGCGGGACAGTTTGTGTGCTTGTTTTTTCATTTTCCTCAATAAAAGATCTCCTTAAACGGAGGAAGATGTGAACCGTTCTGTTTAAAACAGATGATTTTACTCAGCTGCTGCACTTTGTCTGTCAGATTCTAATAAATGGGGTTTTTCGGCTTGAATTTTTCTCCGTTTATAAGTTTGCGTTTGCTGATTTTTGTCGAAACATAGAAAGTTAATGCTGCAGTTAATATTAAGAGTTTCACTTTCAGGTTTGATGAATGCAGTGATTGTGACACCCACTGCTGATTTTCCCTGTTGTTCTGTTGGAAAATGTGCCTGTTAAGAGATGAAATTGGGGCTAAAGCCTTTTTATTGTTGGAGACTCGAGTAGTCCTGTGCTGTGTGCTCTCACTGGAGTCTCACTGGTCATTAGCAAGACTCTAATGACCTACTACATTTATTCAGGTGTGTTGCAACAGGGACACGTGCAAAAGTTTCAGGACACTGGCCTTCGAGGACTGGAGTTTGACACCTGTGTTATAGACTGTGTAAAGCAGGGGAAGGTGGGGAACTCAAGGCCTCGAGGGCCAGTGTCCTGCAGGTTTTAGATGCGTCTTTGATCCAACGCAGCTGATTTAAATGCCTAAATTACCACCTCAACATGTCCTGAAGTTTTCCAGAGGCCTGGTAATGAACTAATCATTTGATTCAGGTGTGTTGACCCAGAGTGAGATCTAAAACCTGCAGGACACCGGCCCTCGAGGCCTGGAGTTCCCCAGCCCTGGTGTAAAAGATGGATGTAGCTCCTGGATCAGAACGGTGAAGCCAGCGTAGCAGTTTCATAAACCTGTCCAGCAGGAGGCGACTCCTCTGCAGGAGATTAAGTCTGCTGGGAAAAATCCCTCAGCTTTTTGATGGCGTGATGATCTCAGGCACTACTTTCAGCTCACACTGAAAATTATGATCGTTATTAGAGTCAGAGGATTATTCAGCACTTATTATTAGAGTGCTAATAGCCAGCTAGTGAATCAGTGTGCAGTTTCCATCTGGTTTTTACTCTGATCAGCCCCTTCGCTGTTACATCTGGTTTGAGAGCTTTAGAACAGATTCTACGTCCATCTTTTATATCCCGTGTGGTCGAAGGAGAAATTCTGGGAGAAGTAGTGAAACGATAAAAAACTAAGTTGCAGTAGAGATGCGTAAATATTTGTAATATTTCCATCTCCTTGGCTTCCTGGGCGGGGTCTGGTGACAGTAGCAGGGAGCACTGATTGTTTTTTTTCTGTATCATTAGAATAAAATGTTTCCATGTTGTTTTCTGCTGAATGCTGTCAGTAACCGTACCTCCTCTCTCTCCACCCCAGAACCTCCATGTATCTCAGCCCTCCTTCGGCTCCACCTCGCCCACTCCCGGAAAGGTCACAAGCTGCCCTCCGTCAGCAGCTCATCAACCCCCAGCAGCGTAACCGCTCACTCCGTCAAGCATGTCTGGAGGCCTCACTGACAGTAAGTGCGCCACCTTCTTTTCCTCCCATCTTCTTCGGTCGTTAGCGCCCCGCCGTCCCCTAAATCCCGTGTTTCCGGTTTTTTGTAAAGATGGCGGTCGAGGCAGGCGGGAGGGGACCTGAACGCTTCACTTTCCCCTCCCCAGTGCAGCTTCCTTACTGTTATGATGCTTATTAGTCAAGTACAGAGTGACCTCTGCACGCCCCCGCACCCCAAAGCTCACAGTAGCTCTCTTGTCTCTGCAGTGACTCCATGATGGGCACTCACATCCCATGATGCGACATGGTTCATGAGCCCCACACACGCCCTGCAGCCACAGCTGCCCTGGTGCCCTCTCCCACTGTACCCCCCTCCTCCATACCCCATGGACAGCAGCATCTCCAGGTACCTCACCAAACCACAGCGCCACATCCACTCATCACCTTTAGTCCTTTCTGAAGACTCTGTGCTCGTCTTCAAGCGTGCGGGGCTCAACAACACACAGCGAGCTGATCACGTGACCAAACGCATCTAAGACGCTTTGTTTTCACACTTTTTCATTTTTTAGTTCATTTTTTTTTTTCTGACAGTGGTTTCACCAAGCACAGCCCCCTCACTTTCAGCCAGTCACACTCCCTCGCCATCGCTACAAAACGTAGATTTATGGCTGCATGATCAGACAACACGATCACTGATGGACACATTCTGTGCGTTTTGCTGTAATTTCGGACTATTTGTACGCTCGAGTAAATTAACCCCAAACACAACAAAAAAATTCTTTGGAAGGAGGCGGGAGGAACGAAGCAGCTCGCAGAGGCGGGTTTAAACTCGAGCTGCGTGTGACGTCCGTTCCACTTTCTGGTTTTAATGCCAGCGTGGTGAGAGGGGGGCACCGGGAAAGTCCACTGTCAGAAACAACCGACACCTGAGAACGATCAGTGACGCTTCACCTCTCGTTAAATGGAATTATTTGAAATGACAGTGTCATTATAGTTACCTACAAATACTTAACGGTAGATTTATTAGAATAAGGGAACAGTCGAGTCATAATTACGGCAACAGAATAGAAAACATAGAACTAAACATAACCGTGCAGATTGTAAAGGTGACCTCACTGGACTATTTAAAGAATTACACTGAGCATCAACAGAGCGACCTTTAAGCTTTATTCCAACATACCGGTAATTCCGTACGTATTTCTGGTGAGAACCTCTAAAAATGTCAAACTCTAACACGCTCCTCCTCCTCTTCTCCTGCAGTTCCTTATTCGGTTGGGTGCGCCGGCTGCTTGGACTACTTCACAGCACAGGGCCTAACAACATCTACCAGATTGAGAACTATAACATGGAGGTGAGCCCTTCCCTATCAACACGATCATTTGATGGGTTAGAGAGAAGATTGGCTCCCCTGCGAATACTACGCTCCCTGTGTAATGACCATTAGGACCTGTCCAGGCTGAAGATCCCTGCCGAGTTCCAGCACATCATCTGGAAGGGCATCATGGGCACGACAGCTATGGATTTTTCCCCTCCTCCCCACATAGTGCGCACCACCGGCAGCGCCTCCACCGTCAGCGTGGGCTCCTCGAGGCGCGGGGCGAGCGCGTCATCGACGCCGTGCGCTTCACCCTGCGCCAGACATCTCCTTCC